TCACCTCCCCTGGCATTTTCACTGTCGGTTACCAGCATCAAGGTTCCCAGCCACGGCAGCTTCTAGTGGTCTCGAGGCATCTTCCAAAGGAGGCATAGAGTTTCTTTCTTCTAATCGCTCAACGATGGTCGTTAATCCTCGAACCAGGTCGGTCAGAGTGTTCAGCTGGGCCTGCATCTGTACCGGGTCAAGCTGTGGCGTGCTTGTAGGTGGAGCTTCATCCCTTGCCTGGGGTTGATTCCTCTGGCCGGGGTGATTCCTCCCACTCCCACTGTTGGTTGGATGCGTGGTATTTTCCTCCATTTGGCAGTTTGGATTTGAAGCACCAGCTGCGCGAACCAGAGATTCTGGGTTCGTTCCCCAATGGAGTCACCCATTGTTGACAGTCGAATTTCACCAACAGAATTACGCCGGATTACCTCTAGGTATCCTCTTGGGTTACCAGCATGAAAACGTTATATACGTGGTACAATACTACTAAATCGCTTTTTTTTTTTTTGTAAAATAGAATTTAAGGAAAGGCAGAAGTAGTGCTTGAATGAATGTAAAAGACACACACGTTTTATAGTGGTTCACTCTGTTAATCAAGAGCTACATCCACTGTGTATTATATATATTTCTTTTCTATAGTTCTTCAAAGCTAACATGAAGTAGTCTCCTCTCATTCTTTGAGGCTCTCCCCCTTTTATAGCCAAACGATTACTTCGTTGACAGTTCTTCTTCGTAGGCTTATCCACTCGAGTGGCCTATGGCTCTATGGGCCCAAATCATAGCTTGTCAACACCTTTTGTATTGTTCACTCATCCAATTTGTCCCCTATTACGGCTCTGTAGGCTCCGTAATCCTCAACCGTCTATTACAGGCGATTTTAAGGACTCATAATTAATCCCTACGCCATTGACACCTTTTGAGCCAGCCTGCCTGTGTCAGAGATCTTATTGAGGCGCTTCGCAACCCGAATTCTGCCCTCGACATCTATACCAGAGAATTAGGCTCTTCGCTTGGCTGACTCGTGGAACTTCCAATGCGCAAGTCATACAAGCCTCGCGGTCTTGAGTGGTTAGCGGTCTGAGGATTCGCCCGTACGATTGGTCTTCCCAATCATTCAGAAGAAAACAAGGTCCAGACGTCGACTGCTATCTGCTGTGGCAAACATAGAGCCACGTGGAGCGCTATCGCCGTAGTAGTAGTAGTAGTAGTAATAATAATAATAATAATAATAATAATACTAGTAGTAATAATAATAATAATAGTAATAATAATAGTAGTGCAATTATTTTGATTGATAATAATAATAATAATAATAATAATAATAATAATAATAATAATAGTAAAAATAATAGTAGTAATAATAATAGTAATAGTAGTAGTAGTAGTAGTAGTAGTAGTAGTAGTAGTAGTAGTAGTAGTAGTAGTAGTAGTAGTAGTAGTAGTAGTAGTAGTAGTAGTAGTAGTAATAGTAGTAGTAATAGTAGTAGTAATAGTAGTAATAGTAGTAGTAATAATAGTAGTAATAATAGTAGTAATAATAGTAATAATAATAGTAATAGTAGTAATAATAGTAATAATAATAGTAGTAATAATAGTAATAATAATAGTAGTAATAGTAATAATAGTAATAGTAATAATAGTAATAGTAATAATAATAATAGTAATAATAGTAATAGTAATAATAATAGTATTAATAATAGTAGTAATAATAGTAATAGTAATAATAATAGTAGTAATAATAGTATTAATTATAGTAGTAATAATAGTAGTAGTAATAATAATAATAGTAATAGTAATAATAGTAATAATAATAATAGTAATAATAGTAGTAATAGAGTAGCTATAAAAACCATACCTATATAATAATAATAATAATAATAATAGTAGTAGTAGTAGTAGTAATAATAATAATAGTAATAGTAATAATAGTAGTAATAATAGTAGTAATAGTAGTAATAATAGTAATAATAGTAGTAATAATAATAATAATAATAGTAATAATAGTAATAATAGTAATAATAGTAATAGTATTATTACTAGTGATAATAGTGATAATAGTGATGATGACGACGATGACGACGATGATGATGATGATGATGATGATGATAATAATGATGATGATAATAATAATGATGATGATAATAATAATGATAATAATAATAATGATTGATTTGGAATATCAATAATGAGATTCATTAGTAATGGTGATACATTGTCCAATAAGAAAAGACCATTAGCGACATAAAGAAAAGAAAAGAGAAAAAAAAAATAGGATCCATCTATTGTAGGATATTTTTTCTTCTAATTTTATATTACTGACCGTTAATCTGATCAAAATCACGGTTTAAATAATTTATTTTCTGATACCTTACCGCGTAATCTCCAAAAAGAAAAAGGAAAACACAAAAATCAACCAAAGGGCACTCATCATGTTTAATGGTGGTTCCCACTTTGTATAAATTCGTCGCCGGAGAATCATTGTGAGCAAATATTATGTCGAGGTAATGGTATGCGGATATTGACATCGACTTGAAAGAATGTTCTTTACTTCACAAGTGCATGGCATTTCCTTATCCCTTTCACTTTTACAAAATTTTCAACCAATTTTGGATTCTTGCTTTGGTCATCATTTAGTCTCCTCTGTTTCAAATATTGTTTGATTCTTATCAGATTTTTGCTGTCCATTTCGATCATATGGAATTTACTCTAGATGTGGCAAATTGTTTTCTTAGGTTAATAATAATAATGATAATAATAATAATGATAATAATGATAATAATGATAATAATGATAATAATGATAATAATAATAATAATAATAATGATAATAATAATGATAATAATAGTGATAATAATAGTGATAATAATAGTGATAATAATAGTGATAATAATAGTAATAATAATAGTAATAATAGTAGTAATAGTAATAGTATTATTATTATTATTATTATTTATCAATTCATTTACTTAGTAAATACATTATTTATTAATTTTTATACCTGGAGCTATTTTGCTTGGTTTGAGGTATCGATATGGTTAGGATAGACTTGGGAGTTGGTGTGTTCTATGATCTCTTATTAGGTAGTAAATGCCCTGTGAGCCTAAGAGTGAATGTAGAGTTGATTATATTAGTCTGTTCAAGCCCCTAAACTGGATCCAGGTCCATTCTAATGCATTGAGTATTTGAGCCAATTTGTTTCGTAAATTCGAATCACAACTCAGATTTTATTATAGTGTTTTGTATGACAAAAATTTAAATTTAACATTTTTTACTATAGTGTTCATAGACATCATATGGACAGTACTAAGACAAAGTATGATTGTTGGAATTGGTTTGAATTCAATTTGTATTTTTCAAAATTGTTTTTCCTTGTTGCAGAAAAAAAGCTCTTCTCTAGCGTGTTATTTGGGCCCTAATTAATCTATAGAAGCTGATCAAACCAATGAGAATTAGTAAGGAAAGAAAAAGACAGAAGAAAAGACCTTGTTTCGATGTTAGCTCGTTGGGTTTTTGTGGCTACGTATATTGATAATATGGTATATGTGATAACGTGTGGCTGCGAATTAATTGATTCAACAAAATCAACATCTCATCTAGATATATGTTAGTATCATGAGCTACAAGTCATAAGGCCTCATTGGAAGGCATTCCCTGTATATTGATAATCACCACATAGAAAATGGTATATGTGATAAGGTGGGGCTGCGAATTAATTGATTCAACAAAATCGACTGCGAATTAATTGATTCAACAAAATCAACATCTCATCTAGATATATGTTATTATCATGAGCTACAAGTCATAAGGCCTCCTTGGAAGGCATTCCCAGATTGGTCCTGCAAGCGTCCATGACATAATATTTAGTTTGAGAATTTGCTAGATTTAAAATGATCTTATCATAAACTAAACAATATCAAAATATCTAGCCACAAATCTGAAATTACAACATAACTCATTTGACATTTAGGCATACATTCTCATGGGCATAAAAGATTACCTCCTCCGGTAAGTAACGGAAACACGTCGCTTATGGTCACCAGAAAATGTCGATTGTCAGTCGGAATCAACGGAGAACCTACAAAAAGAAGAAAGAGTGGCAAGAGATACCTTGAGCTCCTCTCTCTCTCCCTCACTCCAAAAAACGTTGGAACCAAGCCCATTGCACACATAACACACACAAAAATAGAGGTATTTTAGTCCAATAAGCTGACCAAAATTATTGTGAGAAAGGAAATTCATGGACCTCACCTCAGGCATAGTAATAAAATTTAGTGTCCATCCCATTGTAGCCTGATATTTAGGCACCGTTCATTGCACCGATTCGAGTTTAGAATTCGAGTTTTGTTACAGTAAAAAGTTCTAAGAAACAATCACATCTAACTTTTTACTACGGTAAAAAGCTCTCACATAAAGTCACATCTCAACTCGAATCAGCGAACTAAACGGGCCCTTAACATACATGCATTTGTTAATTAACATTAACATAGTTGTCCATAACATGCTTTAATTCATATTATAGTGAATTCTTTATGGCCATGTTCATTTCACTGATTTGATTTTAAAATTCGACTTTTGTTACAGCAAAATACTCACAGAAACAGTCACAATATCTAACTTTTTTGCTACAGTAAAAGCTCTCACATAAAGTCATATCTCAACTCGAATTAAAAATGTAAATCAGCGAACTAAATGGATCTTATGATTATGAAAGTCTATATAAAAAATATTCCAACAAAATTTGATGAAATAATCCTTTCTCAGAAAAGGTTAGGATTAATCGATCCGCTCTATTTTATTAACTCAATTCAACACAATATTATTGCTAGATATTATGTTCAAGGATTTGTTGTATCTTGGGAATAATTTGCAATAGAAACTCATTAACAAACTTTGATAAAGGAGAACAAATAAAACCTTAAAAGAAAATATTTCTATACGCTTCAAACATTCTCCAACACAGTGTTCATTCAAAAGGTAAATGGATATCAATTAAGAGTATTTCATTGGAACTATAATATAATTAGATTTTATTCACGTGTAAACACCTGACAGTACAACTTCGATATCTAATTAGAATATTGTTCATAACGTCGATATGTATATGCAGGTTAAATTCTTAAGACTAACACTAGAGTATATACATGATAATTCATCTCGTCAACAGGAAAATCTCTAATGACTTTTCTTCTTCCGCGAGGAATATGAAAGAGATGGAATGCTTTGTTTGTTCCTGAAGAAATTAGTTGGATCAACCACAGTCTTGATTTGAACCAACCTATTAAAGTTCTTCTTGAAATATTTGGTGCCCCAAATGCTTGCTTGTGCATAACTTGTCGCACCTTTATTGTTATTCATCCCAATATCAAGGTCTCTATAGTTGAGATATGCCGCTCTCGGATTCTTTGACACATAAGAAGCCATGTAACTGTAAAGCCTTCTTATCCAGTTTATATGGATTTGTGATTCTACGGCACTTTCTTCTTCTTTCCAATAGATCAAGTATTGAATTTTGTAGATGTTTCCCGCTCTATGTGGAAACGGAATTTCATATTCCGAGATCTCACTCATTCTCCCACCATAAGGATTCATGATCAATATGCCCATTCCAACTTCTTCTTCGTACAACATTTTCCATATTCGTTCCAACACATGTTCCGGAATAGGCTCCTTCACATAATCTGATTTTGCTTTGAAGGGAAGCCTAGATTGAGGTACTCTATCAAGCAAAACTTCCAAGGGATCTCCACTTGAGAATCCCTGAAGATACAAAGTGGATTCAATCCAACTCATTTCAGTGCAGTCTTCTCTCACCAAACCCAACTCCGGGAAGCTCTCTTTCATTAAGGCAAGAAGCCTATCTACACCACCAAGGAACAATGAATTGAAGGCAACTTGTATCGCTTTGTTGATCGAGCCGTCTTGATCGGTAGAATTAATGGCTTGCAAGATGAGTCTAACGAATAAATCTTCATGAAATTTGTGGGCAATGAATTGCCACCGATGAACAAGTTGCGTAGCATTTTGCGTCAAGTTCCTATTGACGTTGAATACCGTCACGGTTGATGGAACAGGAACAAGCTTGATCTTCCATTTGAGAATAACTCCAAAGCTTGCTCCTCCACCGCCGCGAATGGCCCAAAACAAATCTTCTCCCATGGATTCTCTATCAAGAAATCGTCCTTCAACATCTACTAATTGCGCATCTATAATATTATCCGCCGCGAGTCCATACTTGCGCAACATTGTTCCATACCCTCCTCCGCTCAAGTGTCCTCCAACACCTACGGTGGGGCAAAGACCCGCAGGAAATCCTAGAGTTTCGCTTTTCTCGGCAATTTTATAGTAAACTTCCCCAACTGTTGCCCCAACTCCAACCCATGCAGTCTCATTTTGTACGTCTACGTCGATTGATCGAAGGTTGATGAGATCGATTATAACGAATGGAGCTTCAGACACATAAGAAAGACCCTCGTAATCATGGCCACCACTTCGGGTTCTAATCTGCATGCCGTGTTTTCTTGAGCATTTGAGGGTGGCTTGGACATGGGAGACAAGTGAAGGTGTGACAATAACGAGGGGTTTTGGAGTGTAAGAAGAATTAAATCTAGGGTTTTGTATGGAGAAATTCAAGACTGAGAAATATGAGGAAATATTTTTTGCAGGAGTGTAAATGAGATCTGAATTGTTTGGAAAATTATGGGAGAGGCATTGAAGAAAGTTGTCATGTGATGTACGAGCTGAAGTGGCCCAGGAAAATAATGAGAGGAAAAGGAAAATGCCTGGAAAAATTGAGGATGAGAATGCAGACTTCATTTTTCTTTTTTGTTTATGATATATTTGAATGTGAGTTTGAAGTTAAACTAGAGTTAGGTCGCTTATTTATAGATGTGTTTTTCTTCTTTTAAGAGAGTTTTTTCTTTTTAAGTTAAGCAAAAGAAAGAGAGAGAGAAAAATCGGAATATAAACTTATAGTATATACCAAAAAAGTTGGCGCTCACTGAAACTCGTTTTCCTAGTCAATTTGTGTTAAAATAAAAAGAAAATTACAAAAACTTAAAATAAAAGGAGAAAAGAAAACTATTCCCCGGAAAATAAAGTAACAAACATAAATACTAACAATCCACATAATTGCTTAAAAAAAGAAAACAAAAATCCATATAATTAGTGAAACTTTTTCCTAGAGAGTTAAGAAAATCAAATATAATGCACGTTTTGGAGATTTTTTACAAGAGTTATTCCCTCTTATCATCATTTCTTGAAAAAGAAAAACAAAAGAAAAAAAAGAGTTAAAAAAAAGGACGTCGCTCAGTTGAACAGTAAACAATATATCGATAGCAAAGCACGCAATCTCTGAAAATTCAATTTTATATATCCGAGATATATGGTGATGAAGATAAAAGATACGTCATATATGCCAGCACATTTAGCCAAATTGCATAGACAATTCAGATTTGACTTCTACTGGCTATTGCTTACATACGTAATATACGTTGTTGTTAGGTATTTTTATTAGTTAGTAATTTATGAGCAATCTTATAAAAATTTAAAAAACATGTTTAAGAAGATTTAGAATCAGATTTGGAGAGATAAAAATAAGGTCTTAGTCAAAAAAAGATAATGCATTGATTATTTTAATTTAAATGAGATTCTAGAAATGTTAGGTATTTTTATTAGTTAGTAATTTATGAGCAATCTTATAAAAATTTTAAAAAACATGTTTAAGAAGATTTAGAATCAGATTTGAAGAGATAAAAATAAGGTCTTAGTCAAAAAAAGATAATGCATTGATTATTTTAATTTAAATGAGATTCTAGAAAGAGATAAGGATCAAAAATATTATGTGGAGAATTTAAATTGATGATTATCTGGATTCGAGAAGGTTATAAACGTGGAAAAGAAGGAGATATGATTTTGATATTTGCAACTTATCCAACTCATGGGAATTGAAGTTGCATTAATTTGGATTTGTTGAATTTGTTGTACAATCCAAATTTGAAATTGAAAAGTGTTTTTGGAGATCAAATGGAAGATGGAGTTAATGGAGTTACGTGCATGCAAGATAATGTGGAGATTAAGTTACTATTTTAAAGGAGTAATTCGGATTTGAAAAGTATATGTATAGAAGTGGTCAAACGCGAAGATAAAGTGATTAATGGATGAATTATTTGAATGGGAAAAAGGTTTGTTGCGCAATCCAAATTTGAAAGAAAGATTATTTGATTGGAGTTCAGGAGAGAGAATCATGGAGATAATAGAGATCTTATCAAGAGGGAATTTGAATGAGATTCTCTTGACTTTATTTAAAGACTTTATTTCAGAGCATTTGTGACACGGATTTAATAGAATATGTCTACAGAAAAAGTCTGTGAATTTGAGAGCTTATTACTGAGAAAATATTCAGAGAGACGTTTGTGAGTTTTTATGAGTTATTGAGATCGTCCTTCGGGAGAGGGATTTGTTGCTTTCGGGAGGAAGCTATGCCGGTCAAGGAGAGTTCGTCAGGTGAACAGAAGACATGTGGTGCATGCTAAACAATCACTGTGGAGATTCATCATAGCGGTGTCATTGTCTAAGAGGGAGTCCTTAAGTGAATAAGTCCATTGAGTGTCTGTAATTTCTGGAACATAGTGAACTGTTTATTATCTGGGCGTGGCCCCGCAGATGTAGGTGTGCGCACCGAACTACGATATCATATTGTGTGTTCATTTACTTTCTGCTCAAGCAACTGTACGTAATTAACCCGGATCTTAATTAATTAAGTCGTGTTCCAGACAGTGTTCCAACATCATCTGGAACACCAGACGTAACATCATATCTAACATACGTGATGACACCAAAAGAACAACAACAACAATAACAAGCCTTAATCCCAACTTAATTGAGGTCAACTATATGGATTTCACTTTTCCACACAGCTCTGTTCAAAATTAAACTTTCCTGAAGACCTAGATCTAGAATGGCTTTCCTAACTACTTCGGTCAACATAATTCTTAGTCTACTCCTCCTTCTCCTAGTATTAGGTATAAGAATGTCCTCCCAAGCACGAACTGGTGCTTCTAGCATGCCCGTACCACCTCAAGCGGCCTTCACGCACCTTATCTTTTATTGGTGCTACACCTACTTTACTACGAATAACTTCATTCCTTATGCGATCCATTCTCATATGGTCACTCATCCATCTTAACATATGCATTTATGCCACACTCATCTTAGATATATGTTGTCTCTTAATGGCCCAACATTCACTACCATATAACATAGCTGGGCGGATTACAATTGTATAGAATTTCCTTTCAACTTAATTGGCATCTTGCCATCACATAAAACTCCCGTAGTATTGTTTCACTTAACCCACCCTGCCTTAATCCTATGTTGAATATCCTCTTCTATATCTCCTTCATACTGCACTATAGACCCAAAATACCTAAACTTTCTAGAAGTCCCAATCTCCACACCATCTAAAGAAATTTCATCACTCTGATTACTTGAGTTACTAAACCTGCAATGCATGTATTCAGTTTTCGTCCTACTTAACTTAAACCCTTTCATCTCGAGAGTCTGTCTCCACAATTCTAACTTACGGTTAACTCCTTCCCTTGTTCATCAACTAAAATTATATCGTCTGCAAAAAGCATACACCAAGGAACTCTATCTTGAATTTTTCTTGTCAGCTCATCCATCACGATGGTGAAAAGATAAGGACTAAGAGAATATCCTTGATGAAGGCCGATCTGAATGGGGAACTCTGCTGTGTAGCATCCAGCAGTTCTCACACTCGTGACTATCTTTTCAATCCTTAATTACTTTGATATACCTCACCAAAAGAAAAAGAAATTAAATTAAAGAAAAAGAGTCCTGCATATTATGTTTATAGGTTATAATGGAATCTTCTTCTTCTTCTACTACTTTTTTTTTTTTTTTAAATAACCTGATAGAAGGATATGATCACATTAGAGATAATTAGTACATCCCAAGGAAAGTTAAAATTTTATATATTGTTATCTTTAGTAGTGTTTTAAATTTATTTATATTTATTTTTATATTAAGAGATCTCTTGATTCTCCAAACCTAGGTTGTGTGTCTCCCATATCCAACCCTATGCGCCTCCAACCTTCTAAGCTCTCCGCCTCCAAACCTACAGGTCGTGTGCCTCCTATCTCCTTGCCATACGCCTCCAACAATTCTCCTGCACCATGCACCCTCGTCTCTCCTCTCCTCGATGATTGCCATCCAAGCGCCCGTGCTCTCTTCTCTGCCCGGCAGTTATTGTCTCCATCCTGAATGCATGCGCTCTCAATGATTGTCGTCCCTATGTAACTCTTTCTATGTCTTTATTTTCTTAGAAAGCAAAAGGCAAAAACACAAAATAAGACCAAACAAAATACAAAAAACAAAAATACAAATAAAAGAAAGAAAAGTTCTTATAAGATTGAATCTCTTATTGAAGCTTCATCTTGCCGGGCATTAAGAAAAGTTAATATTTTATATATTGTTACCTTTCTTAGTGTTTTTACTTTATTTGTATTTATTTTTATATTATGAGATCTCTTGATTTTAGGTTTAAGTAACTTATCCGATTATGTGTTTGTAAGGCCTATTTATATAAAGCCCCCATTCATAGTGCTTTTTATTAGTGAACATTGATCTTTCTTTTCCTAATACGTGGATGTAGACACCTTGTCAAACCACGTGATCTCTTTGTTTTTTTCTCCCTTTTATTTTCTTATTAAATTGTTATATTAGGTTAGCATCCACTCATTGATCTCATCCATTATCTAAATTCTAACTCAATATTACGTGTGGGTTAGACAGGTGATTATTCAAAGCGTTTATTTTTATTTCTTGCTTTGAATTAGAGATCATTACGGAAGAAAATGGCTGCATTGAATAGAAAATAGAAGATACAATTTGAGAAAATTCAATTATACCCAGAAGAGGAGACAAAAACATTTGGGTATTTGACTAGCTCGCTAATTACGTAAATCATTCATGTTATAATACCGTTCGATCCGTACTGAAAATCTACTATTTTTTTTGTATTTTCTCTTTTTTATTTTATATTTATTCGTATTATTATTTTTTTGTTGCTGAAGCTCGTACGTCGTTGACTTCTATACATACGTATTAAATTCCAGTTCATTGGAACTAGACATATTTCCCCTAAAAGCAAAATAAAAGAAAAAAAGAACGAAAAATATTGTGAGCCAAGTCTGCAAGAGAGTTTTGAAAATTTCAAGCCATATAATATATATAATGTTGGAAAAAATCGATATGAAGGCTTGAGACACCGGAGAATTACACTTTTTTTTTTCTTGTGTTATCTACCCCTTGCGATAGAGACTGCTTACGGGTTTCTCACTGCTAATCTCTTGAGGATACGACAAGCTTTTGAAGAAGAGAGAGAAAACGTGATTGACCGTATAATTGTTTAAAAAATAAATTTAAGTCGTATTTCTACACGTGTCACATGTGACTGCACAGCCTCATTGCCCAGCTTGGGCGTATGTGCGAGCCATAAAAGAGTCTCGTGTACGTATACAATTTCTAGAACCCACATAATACTATAGTGGCTTATAAATATTATAACTCCACTTAAATTCTTACAATAACTTATCTTCAATTTATATATACTTAAATAATTCCATAACATATAAATGTTCCTTTGTTCAATAATTAGTTCAACTATTATACTTTGATCTTTCATATACTATAGATAGGAATATATTTCTTTTTAATGACACCTATGTCGGTATATAAATCTATCGTAACTTTTACAACTTTAACGTACAAAGTTTGAAATTATATCGTTTAAATGTGTAAGTTATCACATAATTTCTTTTAAAATTCACAAATCTATTATTATTTATATTACTCTAAATGTTTGAAGTTCACAAAATCCAACGTAAAATGCACAAATTATCACATTCCCAATAAGGTGCAGAGAATTCTTATCCCCACACCATAAAAGTTATCATTTATAAATACACATGTGAAATATATAAGTTATACTAAGTGAATATAATTTTCAATGTCTTCACGTACCAATTTATTTTATGATATAAATTTCCTTGTCACTCCCAAAAATTACATAAAATTATAAATGCAGCTAGGCGTGTTTCTAATTAGACAGCATATACAGTCAGTGTATTTTTTTTTTTTAATGAAAGCTTCAAGGTTTTCACGTTGACAATTTTCTTTTCATCACAAAAACCCCTAAATAATGAAGATTTAGGAAAAGTAGGAATCAATTTTTTTTCCCCTCTTCTGCAAATAGAGAACAAGGACAACTAGCATCAAGTCATTAGAGCATTCTAATTATGTACTTGACACTAACTTACACTCTATCCCACAGTTTTACTCTGTATTTTTTCTTCTTTTTTTTTTTTTTGAGAAAGAGGGTTGATGATATCGAAAAAACCAAAAACAAAAACAAAAATGAAAAAAGAAGAAAGAGGACCAGGACCAATATAGTGGAACTATGGAAAATACATAGAAGGTACAAAAACGCTCACGTGAGGGGACACCAAAACTACTTTGCCATCAAGCAATAAACACATGAAATGTAAAAAGCTTGACAAAGAGAGAAGTTTACATTGTTGGTGTGGCATTAAACCATACTTAGCGAGGCTTGATATTGGGGAAAACTCCGCTAACAAGATCACTTCCCACATAACTATCAGACGATACATAAGTGACGTTCCTTCCATTGTGGCGTGATGATGTTGGTGCAAATCCTGATGTTTCCGAAGATGATGCATTCGATTCCAATCGATTCGCGTCGGATTGAGAAAGCATTGATCGTAAGTTCTCCAACTCTCTCACCACTTCCAGCATCGAAGGCCGCCTTTTCGTCTCGTCATGGCAGCACTTGAGGGCCAACTGCATAAATTTCTTGACACATTCTGTATCGTACGTACCCATGTCCCGATCAATGACGGAGAGCATTGTTCCGGATTCACATGCTGCATGAACCTATGTTTTACAATAATAAGAAAAAAATTCACATCGTGATAAGATTTAACAATAATGATAGAAATAGAAGAAGCTAATTAAAATCCACTCAGAATAAGTGGCCGAGCCAGAAAATATTTTTATTGTGCGCACTGTAAAATAAAAACTTAAGAGATAATTTTTTAATTGGATAAAGACATAATCATGAATTTCAACTATTTAGTCGGGGCATAATTAAAATTACACAAAATAGAAGGGTAAATTTTAAAATGCAAGTGGGGGCATATGCCTTCACTCACATACATGTGGCTCTGCCGCTGTTTACGGTTATTGCGTCAAAAACTTTTAGAGGGTGGTAAGATGTATAAAATCAGTAGGATATCGTACTCCTGTTCTTTGGCCTTTTTTTTTTTTTTTTTTTTTCTTAAGAAAAAAATGAGCCTCATTATGAAAGAGAAAAAAATAATTAACATGCCATTTTTACCCTTAAAAAAAGCAAACACGAACAAAGTTTATCGATCCAAGTATCCAAAATTTCAAATTCAGCTGAATTAAGGAAGGAAAGGATTGTCATTTTTGGATACTAATTTGGTAGATGGACTTAAATCTTGTTTGGTAACTGTTTTTCAAGGGTGAAGCTGGTATTTAAAAAAATTGCAATTTCATTATGACAAATGGTCTAATTTATAGTTTCGTTGCTTCAAACTAAAAGAAAAACTATCACTCGTCATATTAGCAAATAGGTTAAAAAATTTGAGCTAAAATTAATGCATAGGATTTCATCAAACTAAATAGACGCGCGCGCGCGTATATATAACTATATATATATATATAATTTGACAACCAAATTATGTAAGAAAAATAAATAGAATTAAGTTCAATCCCATAGTAGAATTTAAGAAAATAAGATCAAAAAATACGTATCACAAAAATTAGACATTTACCTCTCGAACAATGTTTCTACCATGAGAAATAGGTGGCATTCCTGTAAGGAGTTCTAGAAATACTATTCCAAGGCTGTAAACGTCACTCTTATCCGTTAACTTGTGAGTTAAGAGATATTCCGGATCTAGATAGCCCTGCATGAAAGTAGCACTACAGAAAGTTTATACACCTAACGTGTTGGTAAAACAAACAAGATAGTGTAAAGAGAAACGGTATCAACAAAATCTACGCTCTTATTAGAAATTCCTTTCAAACTCTTTCATTGGGTTATTAGTTAGTCTATTAAAATAGCAAATTAGAGTTGTTACCTCGAGGGTAGAGTCTGTTACCTCGAGAGGATTGATTCCTTTGCTATTTTGTTATTTAGCTATTTATGTTATTCATTTCTCTCTCCTTTCTGTTTTGCTGAGTTGTACGTTTTCACTCACATGCTATATAATGCCTGGTTGTAATCAAGCAAGTAATGAGAATGTGTTTTCCGTTCTTCATTCTTTTTCTTTGCTTTTGTAATATGGTATCAGAGAACCTTCCTTTTGCTGCTCACTTTTGTTGATCTATGGCGCGTGGTGGTGGTCAGCAAAATCGATTTGCTCCATTAACGACCTCTCCTCCAGCTGCTTCTGCCCAGACATCCTCTGCTTCTACACAGAGATCGGCCAGCAACATGGATGACACGAATAGCCCATTTTTCCTCCATAGTGGAGACAATCCCGGGTTAGTTCTGGTTTCTCAACCTTTGACTGGATCCAATTATAATACCTGGAAAAGATCGATGCTCATGGCCCTCAACGCCAAGAACAAAATCAGTTTTGTGGACGGTACGCTGGTGAGACCCCTTGCAGGTGACCTCACTTTCAGTTTTTGGTCTCGGTGTAATAGTATGGTCACTTCTTGGTTGCTTAATTCTGTTGCGAGGGAGATAGTAGACAGTCTCCTATATCTTGATACTGCCAGAGACGTGTGGATCGATCTTTACGACCGTTTTCATCAAAGCAATGCACCACGCATTTTCCAGATCAAGAAGCTCCTACTTGGTCTGTCTCAAGGGTCCCTTGACGTTAACACCTATTATACTCGTCTTAAATACTTTGGGATGAGCTTAAAGATTTCCAGTCCATACCGGTCTGCAGCTGCGGAGGAATGAGAAGCTGGATAGAGTACCAATAGCAGGAATACGTAATGCAATTTTTAATGGGTCTGAATGATTCTTTTGCATCAACTAGGGCTCAGATTTTGTTGCTTGATCCTCTACCCTCAATCGCTAAGGTGTTTTCCCTGGTTATACAAGAAGAAAGGCAACGTACTATTGGGTCAAAAGTCGCCACCTCTTCACCGGGTTCCATGGCGTTTCAAACTTCTACTTCACCATCTCCGGTTGCTAATGCGGCCGTTGCTTCACACCCCAAGTCACGGGCAAACAGGCCCAGTTGCACTCACTGTAGGTTCGTGGGCCATACTGTGGACCGGTGTTACAGGTTGCACGGGTATCCTCCTAGGTTCAAGCCCAAATCCAAGCCAGGCCCATCAACAAGCCCACAGAGCTCCACTCAATCCAACTTCTCTTATTAGGTCACGATGCAGAATCACTCTCCTGCACCTCCGCCGACACAAGCACAAGGCTCCCCCCAGCCCTTGCCGACGTTCACTCCAGACCAGTGCCAATAGCTTATTGCCCTACTGAGCTCGCAGCTCCATCTCAATGCCAATGGTCATTCTGAAGTTGCTCAGCCTTCTGCCTCACATTTCACAAGTATTTCTTCTCATTCTTTTCATTCCTCTCTTTTTCAATCTTCGTCTGGTAGATGGGTAATAGACACAGGCGCTACGCACCATGTGTGCTCCGATTACTCACTTTTCTCTTCTCTCAACCCATCGCCTCGATCTAAACTCACCTTGCCCAATGGTCATCAAGTTAACATCACACATGTTGCCTCTGTCACGTTGCCGAATTCCCTTGTGCTAACTCATGTGTTTTATGTGCCTTTATTTCATTTTAATCTCTTGAGTATTACTGCCCTTACACAATCCTATAATTGTTCTGTTCTTTTCCTATCCAACTCTTGTTTTATCCAGGACCTCACTCAGGGGAAGACGATTGGGACGGATAAACAAGATGGCAACTTATTTTTCTTAGATCTAGGAAATGTCAGTTGTAATTATGTTTCTTCCTGTAATTATGTTCCTTCGAAGATGCACAAACCAAACATTTGGCATTTTCGGCTTGGACATCCTTCTTCTGTAAAACTGAAATCAATGAATGAAAGATTGCATCTGCCCTTATCTAATTCTCTTTATTTTTGCCATTGTTCAATTTGTCCCCTTGCCAAGCAAAAACAGTTGCCATTTCCATCTCCTAATCATTTATCACCCAAACCTTTCAATTTGATACACATGGATATTTGGGGCCCTTTCCACACCCCAACAACAGAAGGGTACCATTTTTTTCTCACAATTGTAGATGATTGCACAAGGTGCACTTGGGTTTTTTCTGTTAAGAGCTAAGTCTGGCGTTAAGACAATTTTTCCTAAGTTTTTTTATATGGTTTTAAATCAATTTCATGTTGCCATCAAGTCTGCTCGTTCCGACAATGCTCCTGAATTGACACTCACTAATTTTTTTGAGTCAAAAGGTATTGTTCACTTTTTTTCTTGCGTTGATACTCCGGAACAAAATTCCGTCGTTGAGTGCAAGCATCAACATATCTTAAATGTGGTGCGTGCCTTGTATTTTCAATCTCATGTCCCTGTGTGTTATTGGGGAGATTGTGTTTTGACGGCTGTTTATTTGATTAACCGTTTGACTTCCCCCTTGCTGAACAACAAAGTACCATTTGAGCTCCTGTATCACAAGCCCCCCTTTTATAGTCATCTTAAGGTTTTTGGTTGTCTTTGCTATGGAACTACCCTAGCACGTCACCGTACCAAATTTTCTCCCCGTGCTCGACCTTATTTTTTTCTTGGCTATCCATTTGGGTATAAGGGGTATAAGCTTCTCGACCTCACAACAAACACAACATTTGTCTCACGCAATGGTGTGTTTCACGAGTCTCTCTTCCCTTTTGTTATTCCCGGCTCCACACCAAATCAGGATCTATTCCATAACCGAGTGCTCCCTTGGTCTTCTCCTGATGTCCTCCAGTCCCTTATTCCAGCTTTTCCATTGTCCATGCCACCTCCTGTGTCTCCCTTGGCTGATTCCTCTAATCCAAAACGTACTGTCAAACCACCAGCTTACTTGGCTGACTATCATTGTTCATTGGCCACTCTTTCCAACCCTTCCTCTTCACACACACCTTATCCTCTATCTTCCGTTCTCAGTTATCATTGTTTCTCCGAGTTTCATCGTGCCTTCAGTCTTGCTATCTCTTCCACCCTCGAACCACAAACTTTTTTGCAGGCTGCACTTCCAGAATGGCGAGCAGCCATGAAAGATGAGCTACGTGCCTTGGAGGAAAATAAGACTTGGTGATAACTCACAGAAATAGAGTTATTTAGCATACTTTTAGGCTTAATATTTGTTTATATTCTCCGGGTAAAATGCCTTTGTGTTAGTATTTTGAATAGCATTTATTAATCTTTTTCCGTATGGCAGAAAGTCGTTATTTATGGGAAATCTTGCTATATTTTGAAGTTATTCCTAAATTCAACTCATTGCATTGACCCTGGGAACTTAGTGCATGATGTCCACAGGAGGTGCTGACGTAGGCTTTTGGTGAGAAAAGCGCGGTGGAAAACACAAATGTTGAAATGCCCCCAATGCCATAGCATTGCTGCAGCAAAGTCGCAGCAACAGCAGGAGCAGCCAAAAATTAGCAAGCTGGCGCAGTTTGTCTTTTAGCGCTGGTAGTGGTCCAAGCACTGACGGGACAGCTGTAAGAGCACCAGGAGGGGGGACCATCGATCATGACTCTCATGCATACACTTGTCACTAGGGCACCTCAACATGCCCTAGTATATAAAGGAAAAGGAGAGTATAGTACAAAGAGCGAGAGAAGAGGAGAAAAATAAGGGGAGGCGCACAGAATTCCTGTACGAGCTGGAAACGGAGACAGAAGAGAGTACAGGGGATTTTGGACGCTGGAGCTGGAGAAAAGAAGAGTACAACACGGATATACAGGGGTTTTTGACCTCAGATTCTAGCTTAGCTGTTTTCTCCTTCTCTCTGTATTTACTTTCCGAGACCTTATAGATCTGTTATTTGTTATTAATTCTGATTTTGTTGAACTAAACATGAGCTAAATTCCTTAGCTAGGATTATTGATGGAACCAAAGTTGCAATGAAGATCTATTTGCTATTTTGATTGATAATGTAATTTTCATCTGGTTTATTCAAGCATATTTATTGTTTACTTTCTATTAAGTGACAGGCCATCATTTAGTAAGAAAACACAAACTTAAGCTAATTCTGGAAAGGTTGGTTGAGTTAGATCTAGCTTGGATAATGTAAGAGATAGTATAGGAATATACTATTATCTTGCACAACCCATTAAAATTGATGTTAACGTCAGGTCTGTAAACTAAAACACATAGGAATATGTTGGTTTGGTTTAAGGAATTACAAGCATAAATCTGTCGGAAGATGATTATGTAGAATTTTAGGTTGACTAGATGAACTTTGCTACAACAATCGTATAGCAAATCGTGGTCAGAGTTGCAACCGAGGGGAAACCAGTAATCCTAGCCTTCATCCATAATTCTCTAAGCTCAGATCTTGTTGACTTTTACCTCTTGTCTGCATTTAAATTACAGTCTTTGGTCTTATACATTCTTGTCACTTAATTAATATCAATTTGGCATTCAAACTATTCTCAATCATATTGATAAAACTAGTTTTTGTAATAGAATTCCTCATTAACTCAGTCCCTGTGGAGACGATACTTTACTCATTACTATATTACTTGTTCGATTGCGTGCGCTTGCGTGGAGTCATTTTATGCATAGAGTTTTTGGCAAACAGTGACGTTTAGTTTGAAGGTTCAAAGAGTTTGAACTTAAATTCAAGTTTAAACCCGTGTTTATTTTACAAAAGGTAAAAAGTATTTAAATCCTTGATATGACATTTCATAACCCAAGATTCTAAAAAAATAAAAGATTTTTGAATCCAAGTCTCTCATAAATTCTCAAGATTTAGTGG